TGCTCAATATTCGGCTAGTACACCGCCATCAGGGCCCAGTCAGCAGCAGCAGTGGAGCCATTTCAGGCCCAGTCATGGCAATAGGGGATCCTATCAGCAGGGTCGTCATGTTGGTAGATTCCAGTAGCAGAGGAGGCCCTCATGACCTAGGTGTAGAAAGATGCACTTAGGAATATGCTACATGGACTTACCCATATGCTACGGATGCGGATTGAGGGGTCACATTCAAAGGGATTGTCGTTCGTCCCACCAGGGTGCGGGCAGGGGCCCAGCTGTCACGACCCAAACCGATAGGCCGCGACGAGCACCCAGTACCTTACTCAACCGAGTACCAATGTAACGTATATTTCGTATCATACTATCATAGGTAATTGAGCCAGAAAGGCTGTCGTGAGATAAGTAGAACAAAACATGAGGAAATACTTAATATAGGGTGACCCAACTTGATATACCAACTTATACATATTACGTATTGGCCTATAAGGCCATACCAGTATCCGTATACATGACATCTGTCTACAAGTCTCTAAGAGTACATAAATATTATAAAGGTCAGGACAGAGCCCCGTCATACCAAATAATACATATTCAGATCATACTGACCAAATATGCAACTCCGGAGCAAGTGGAGTGCACAAACACCTTCTGCTGAGCTGATAGCCTACTAGGAGAACTCTCAACCTATCTATCGGGATCTACGGGCATGAAACGCAACGTCCCCAGGAAAAAGGGACGTCAGTACAAATAAAGTATCGAGTATGTAAGGCATGACAGTAGTATATAAAAGACATGAAAGAAACATGGAGTAAAGAACTCAACCTGAAATTTCTGAATAGCTCTGTGAATCATGAAAATTTATAATGTCATGCATGCGCGTATAAATGCCATACCATGCATAGGTATATGCGTACATAACATCATTCAAGCCTCTGAGGGCATCCCATCATATCATTTCAGTCACTGTGGGCAAAATCATCAACGTATACCAGTTGATCATGTGGTGGTATGTATATAATGCCGTAACCTTTTCCCATATCCCATATACATATAATATATGCGTATATAACGCCTTCTGGTTATGGGTCAATGTACATGTATAAATGCATGAAGTGCATAAGAAATACGTTAATAAGATTTCTCGAATATCATAAAATCCATATGCCTTTCGGACAAATTTTATCAAATACATATTTTTCTGAGACTCATGAATAAAGGATATAATAATAATTCACATGGGGAATCAAGAATATAGACACCCTTAGTATTTCTATGAATAGAGTCATTTATGAAAGTTGCGTATTTTGCTCGTTTCATTTGTACCATTTGGATCATGCCAAAAAGAAAGAAGGGATAGCCTTAACATGCCAGTATGATTTCTTCCTTATTACTCAACCAAGATCAACACAACTTCTTTCATCTACAACAAGTGAAATGATATTGCCGTTAACATATAATGTCATACCATCATATTTGGCTAGTCGTATGGCTTAAGAAAAATCGAACAGCAACTCCCCTATTTTTAATACATCCCAAAGACCACTAAGACATCAACAGCCCAACAACAACTATAACCAATAATAGCAACAACAACAATATAATCCAATATGAGTTTCTCCGATTATCTTAACAACCAAATTGAGCGGCAAGCTCGTTTTTACTCACAACAAGATATAAATTGAATCCAAATATTATTCCATAAATTAGATTATAACCTTCAGAACATCATACTTATATGTACTATGTTATTTCTAGTTCAAAACATCCACAAAATGCCTTCCAAAACACCCCCATACGCCTAGTACCTTAATTTTTATCGTCAATCACTTGTTTTTCATCTTTTTTTCTTCAATAAACTTAATTAACACCTAGAAAAGCTTAACAACAGCAGACACAACATTATAAAATTATTTCTTACAATTTCTAGCCACCACAAACCATCTATTTAGTCACAAAACAATCCAACCAAAGACAACTACATCCCATGTTCTTTCAAGTGCTATCTTATGGTTTCTCACTCAAACAACGCAACCAACACAAGATTAACCTTAGGTACAATCAAGAAGATGTTATACATACCTTGGACAACAGCTACAACTTGAAACCCTGTCTCAGCTTAGCTCACAATAGCCCTCAATCACACCACAATATCATAAAAGCATTCTCTTGTAGTCCTTAATACCTTTGATGATGATTTGAGTTAATTTCCCTTGAGTTTGGTTCTTGAGATCTTGGGATATATTAGAAGGGTTTTGGAGAGCTGTTAGATGAAATTTGGGTGAAAAATGACCCGCAATGAGTCTGAAACACCTTTAAAAAAACGTAAGGTCGGAGGTCGTCTTAAGTGGATCCCAACCGAACTGCTTGTGCAGTCTCACAAAAATGTGGATATCTCTCTACTCCGACGTTGTATCAATGAACGGTTTAATGCATTGGAAACTAGACTCGTAGACCTTAAATATGGTATATAATATGTCCCAAAAAGACCTCATATAGAACATAAAATTTATTTCTCAAAAAGCTCTGTTACAAGGCAAATCCTTAGTCGGGTTTTCCGCAACTTAAATCCGATTTTTTCTAAACTTTATATATTATATCCAAATGTCATATATATTCATATCATGACTTTAAACTAATTTAAATCATGATTAACAAGTCTCACATTCATTACGTCACCTTGGGACGCACAGGTTGTAACACCAGCATAGCCAACCAGTTCTACAGCTACTATATCCGCAACACTTCCTCCAGTTTGAGGCACTCCAACAGACGCAGGGCGTGGTACAGCTAGGGGTGGAGCACATAGTTTGGGAGGATTCGACTAATTCTATTCTATAAGGGGTCGCCAAAATTTAGAGGCTTTTCCAGATGTTGTCACAGGTATATTGACGGTCCAATCTCATGATGTGTATGCTCTTATAGATCCCGGTTCCACTTTGTCATATGTCACACCTTATGTTGCTATGGAATTCGGGATAGAACAAGAACAGCTTAAAGAGTCATTCTCTGTATCTACTCCAGTTGGTGAGTTTATTTTGGCCGCACGGGTTTATAGGGATTGTGTTGTCACGTTGCGTGGTCGGGACACCATGGCCGATCTCATTGAATTGGGGATGGTCGATTTTGATATAATAATAGGGATGGACTGGCTTTATTCTTGTTTTGCCAATCTGGATTGCCGAACGAGGACTGTTAGGTTCAAATTTCCAAATGAACCAGTTATTGAGTGGAAGGGTAATGATGTAGTGCCGAAGGGTAGGTTTATTTATTACCTTAAGGCCACGAAAATGATCAACAAGGGGTGTATTTACCATTTGGTCCTAGTTACGGACACCGATGTTGCGGCACCTACTCTTGAGTTTGTGCCTGTTGTGAAAGAATTTTTGGGAGTCTTTCCGGAAGATCTCCCTAGGATCCCACCAGACAGGGAGATTGATTTTGGGATTGATCTGATGCCAGACACGCATCCTATATCTATTCCGCCCTATAGAATGGCACCGTAGGAATTGAAGGAACTAAAGGAGCAACTGAAGGACTTGTTAGAAAAGGGTTTCATCCGGCCGAGTGTGTCGCCTTGGGGAGCACCAGTCCTTTTTATAAGGAAGAAATATGGGTCATTGAGAATGTGTATTGAATATCAGCATCTTAACAAGGTCACAATCAAGAATAAGTACCCACTGCCAAGGATAGATGACTTGTTTGACCAATTGCAAGGTGTTAAGTACTTCTCCAAAATTGATTTATGGTCCGGATATCACCAATTGAAGATTAGGGACTATGATATTCCGAAAATAATTTTTAGGACCCGGTATGGGCATTTTGAATTTTTGGTGATGTCTTTTGGGCTAACAAATGCCCCAGCAGCTTTCATGGATCTTATGAATCGAGTCTTCAATCCTTTTCTTGACTCCTTTGTGATAGTGTTCATTGACGATATTCTTGTGTATTTACGAAGTCAAGAAGACCATGCCGATCATCTCAGGGTAGTTCTGCAAACCCTATATCAACACCAGTTATATGCAAAGTTTCATGTAGTTATCAGTATCTTCCTTATTTCCTTACCTCTAAGCTTTATAAGTTTTCTTGTCAATTTCATGTGTATTTCAACAACAACAAAAACGTACCCAGTGTATTTCAACAAATTATTTAGTGTCTTATTAATAAAGCATTTCTATTTCGATTTGTTTTTAGTTAAATGGAGTTGTAGAAATTTTAGAGCTACTTGGCGGTTTATTGGCTGCTTTGCTTCCAGAGAGAGAAACTGCATATTGTTCGTGAGAAATTACTTGTAGAAGGTCAAGCAATAGCATATTTTTTCACCCCAACACTACTTATACTTTCTGATAAGTATCTAACTTATTGATACAATATGAGAATTTAAGAAGAAACTAAAGTTAAGAACTAAGCTAAGGTAAGGAAAAGGAAATAACATATTTCATTCATAGCCTCTGAAGATGGCAAGTTCGATACATATAGGGGAAATAAGACCTAGGGATCAAAGTGAAATAAAAGTAACTTAGGAGAAATAAAGTAACTACTTATTGGACTGAAATGTAACGTAAAAACTAATAATTAATAGGTAAATAACCAACCCAATTCCCATGTACACTTCCGGGAACATAAAATACTACTCACACAACATTTCCATATCGTATCACTTATCTCGAATGTAACAAGTTGTTGTGGTGAACAATGGTAGCGTTAGGTCACGTCCTCGGGTGGGGCAGGGGGTAGGGGTAAGGGAAGCTCTAGGTTGAGAATTGGATCCTGGAACATAGGGACTTTGACGGGAAAGTCTATAGAGTTAGCGAAAATTCTCCAGAAGAGGAAGGTCAACATAGTTTGTGTCCATAAAACTAGATGGGTGGGGACTAGAGCTCGGGAGGTAGACGAGTTTAAGTTGTGGTAGTCGGGGGTTGAGGGGGAAGAAAGAGGTAGACATCCTAGTTGATAGGGAACATAGAGAGCTAGTGGTAGAGGTTAGGAGGGTGAATGACAGGTTAATGGCTATTAAGATAGTTGTGGGAGGGCTTATTTTAAACATTATTAGTGCTTACGCGCCTCAAATGGGTTTGGACGAGGAGGTTAAAAGGAATTTTTGGGAGGACCTGGATGGGTTGGTGTGGGGAACTTCTCACACCGAGAAGCTTATCATAGGAGGAGATTTCAATGGCCACATTGGGACGTCGTCTGGGGTTACGATGGGGTGCATAGTGTCTTTGGTTTTGGAGACAAACGTAGGAGGTGATTCGCTGTTAGAGTGTTCTAAATCCTTTGATTTGGTGATTGCTAACTCGTGTTTTCCAAAGAAGGAGGAGCACATGGTTACCTTCCAGAGTACGCTGGCCAAAACCCAAATTGATTACATCCTGCTTAGGAGGTGTGATAGAGGTTTACGCATGGATTACGAGGCCATCCTAAGTGAGAATCTCACGACGCAACATAGGCTATTGGTTATGAATTTGGAGATCATGCAGACAAGGAAAAAGAGGGTAGTGTATGGTCTACCTAGGATCTGGTGTGGTGCCATGACTAAGGACAAAGCTCAGGAGTTGGGGGAGAAGTTACTGGCAATGGGGGGCTTGGAGGAGTAGTGAGGACACGAGTTCCATGTGGACTATGACAGCGAGCTACATTGGAGAAGCTGCGAGAGAGGTGTTAGGGGTCTCGAAGGGTTTCTCTAGTGGCCGCTATGGGGACTGGTGATGGAATAAAGAGGTCCAAGAAAAAGTGGAAGCAAAGAAAGTGTCATATGTGAAGCTAATAGAAGGCATATATGAGGGAGAGAAGAGGGCCAAGAAAAGTAGAAGCCAAGAAAGCGGCATATGTGAAGCTAATAGAAAGCATAGGTGAGGCGAAGAAGAGGGCCAATAGGGAGTGGTACGAGGAGGCTAAGAAGGATGCGAAGTTAGCAGTTATTGCGACTAAAACTGCAGCATTTGAATGTCTGTATGAAGATCTTGGGGAGAAAGGCGGGGATAAGAAGCTCTATAAGCTGGCCAAAGTGAGAGAAAAAAGGCTTGTGANCATAATAAATCTCAAAATAGAGGAATTTTCCTTGGATATAAGATGTTGATAAAGAAGAGAACTTTCTTCGCACGTTATTACACGTTTTCATGTTCCGCGCCTTGGTTCGGGCCAATCTACATGAGCATGGTTCGTTTCGACCATTTGGCTCTTATAATTTTTCCTGGATCAAGTGAGGTGTATAAAAGACAAGGAGGGTAGAGTTTTGATGGATGAGGCACAAATTAAGCGAAGATGGCAGTCATACTTCCATAAACTTCTGAATGAAAGGAAAGATAGGAACATTGTGCTGGGTGATTTGGAGCACTCCGGAAGTCATCAGGATTTTGGGTACGGTAGGCGCATTAGAGTAGAAGAGGTCGAAGAGGTAATGCGAAGGATGAGCAGGGGTAGAGCGACCACGACAGACAAAATCCCTATAGAATTCGGGAAGAGTACGGGTAAGGAAGGCTTGGAATGGCGCTCTAGGTTGTTTAACGTTATTTTTAGGACGAAGAAGATGCTTGAAGAGTGGAGGTGGAGTGCAATGGTTCTGTTGTATAAGAATAAGGGTGATATCCAGAATTATAACAACTATAGGGGTATCAAACTTCTAATCCATACGATGAAAGTTTGGGAGAGGGTGGTAGAAGGGAGGGTGAGCAGAAATATGTCTATTTCAGAGAACTAGTTCGGTTTCATGCCGGGTCGTTCGACTACGGAAGCCATCCATCTGGTGAGAAGATTGGTAGAGCAGTATAGGATGATGAAGAATGGCATGCATATGGTGTTCATTGATTTAGGGAAAGCATATGACAAGGTCCCGAGAGAAGTACTATGGAGGTGTTTGGAGGCTAAATGTGTGCATGTGGCGTACGTTAGGGTGATTAAAGACATGTATGATGGAGCTAAGACACGGGTGAGGAAAACTGGAGGAGACTCAGGTCACTTCCCGGTTGAGATAGGGTTCCATCAGGTATCAACCCTTAGCCCGTTTTTATTTTCCTTGGCGATGGACGCATTGACGCAACATATTCAAGGAGAGGTGCCATGATGTTTGTTATTTGCAAATGATATAGTTTTGATTGACGAGACACGAGGTGGTGTTAACGAGAGATTGGAGATTTGGAGACAGACTCTCGAGTATAAAGGTTTCAAGTTGAGAAGGACTAAAACAAAATATTTGGAGTGCAAGTTCAACGACATCACCCAGGAAGCAAACATAGATGTGAGGCTTGATACACAAGTTATCCCAGGAGAGGTAGTTTCAAGTACATTGGGTCAATATACAAGGTGATGGAGAGATTGATGAGGATGTTAAGCATAGTATCGGAGCAGGGTGGATAAAGTGGAGGCTAGATTCCGGTGTGTTGTGTGATAAGGGTGTACTAGTGAAACTTAAAGGTAAGTTCTACAAAGTAGTGGTTAGACTGACTATGTTATATGGGGCAGAGTGTTGGCCGGTAAAGTACTTGCATGTCCAGAAGATGAAAGTAGCGGAGATGAGGATGTTGAGATGGATGTATGGGCATACTAGATTTGATAAGATTAGGAATGAAGTCATTCCGGATAAGGTGAGTGTGGACCCCGTGGAAAATAAGATGCGGGAGGCGAGGCTGAGATGGTTCGAGCATGTTAAGAGGAGAAGTACAAAAGCCCTGATTATGAGGTATGAGAGGTTAGCCTTAGGGGGTATGAGGAGGGGTAGAGGTAGATCAAAGAAGTCATGGGGAGAGGTGATTAGGCGGGACATGGAGCAGCTGGAGCTGACTAAGGACATGACCCTTGATATGAGGGTGTGGAGGTCGAGGATTAGGGTAGTAGGCTAATATGTAGTCAAGCATTTCCCTATGTACTCTCAGTTCGATAGCTTTAGTATTAGTATGTTGTCTTTTATTATTAGATTGGTTTTACTACATAACTTATAATTGTTCGATAGCATTAGTATTAGCATGTTGTCTTTTATTCTTAGATTGCCATTACTACCTAGCGTATAATTGTTGTTTTGGCTTTGGTTTTCTTCTTTTCTCTTGTTGTTGTTAATACTTACTGCGTTCATTTCCCTTCATCCTTTCTTTAGCTGATGGTCTATTAGAAATATAAAACTTAATACAATTTGTTGCCAATGAATTTATTATATTTAATAAAATTTAATCTTACAATTATTTTATATATTTACTTCACTATTGTTAAAGTTATACTAGCTACATCACATAAATAATATAAAATACTTATTGGAGCTTTTTGCAAGATGANGACTCCGAGGTCTGCAGACGCAGCAGATGTACTTTGAAATCTTCGTACAGTAGCAACACTCTCAGCTAATAGCGGGGCTGATAAGAAGCACCTGGATCTGCACACAAAACATGTGCAGAAAAGTAGCATGAATATACCACAACGGTACCCAATAAGTGTCAAGCCTAACCTTGGTGGAATAGTGACGAGGTCAGGTCTGGGCCCTACTGGGATATAATAATAAGACAGATGATATAATAAAATGAAGTAAAATGGAGAATTTAACAGAAGGAATTCATAGAGAAATAACAACACATCACAATGTGATATCAACAGGGGCGCTCCCGAAATATCGTCTCGTAGTCCCAAAAGTAAATACTCAACAGGGGATCTCCCGAGATACCGTCTTGTAGTCCCAAAAGTAAATATGTGAGGAGATCTCCCGAGGTACCGCCTCGTAGTCTCAAAAGTAAATGTGCAGGGGGATCTCCCGAGGTACCGCCTCGTAGTCCCAAAAATAAATATGCATGAAGAACTCCCGAGGTACCGCCTCGTAGTCTCAAAAGTAAACACAGAGCTCAACCGTTAGCAGGAAAAAATCCTACAGTTAAGACCGATCAAAATCAAGGAGAAACAGGAATTCAACTAGGCATGCTGCACAGAGTTCAAATAAGCAGATAAAGCACGTAGACATGTGATATTAGACTAAGCAGGATAACTACACATGCTAGTATAACTAAATTAAGATGAAAATATGTTACTACTCAGTAAAAATCGGGTCTTACAATAAATAGCCCGTGTACGTACTCGTCACACGCACACAACGCTCACATATCACAACAGTACCAATCCTAAGGGGATTTCCCCCACACAAGGTTAGGCAATACACTTACCTCGAACCAAGCTCAATCAATCAGTAAGAATGCCCTTTCCTCGATTATCCGACTCCTAATAGCCCAAATCTAGCAAAAAATAATTACATATCATAAATACAACTATAATAGACTAATATAATCAATAAAATCAAGACTTTAACAAGAATTTCGAAAATCGTCCTAAAACGTCGACCCGAGTCCACGTCTCAGAATCGGGTAAAAGTTACAAAATATGAACACCCATTAACTCACGAGTTCACTCGTACCAAAATTATCCAAATCCAATATCAAAATCCCAATCAAAACTCAAAAACTTAGTTGAAGAACTTCTCCCATTTTTTCCAAATTTCTCAACCAAATTCCCTAATTAAATGATAAAATCAACTATAGATTAGGGGAATATAACCATAAACGAGTTAAGAATCATTAACCCAAAGTTCTCTCTGAAAAATCCTTAAATTATCGCCTCAATCCGAGCTCTCAAAGTCCCAAAAATTAAAAATAGGATAAAACCCCTCGAACTTGGCCCTTTTCTGCCCAGCGATTTGGCATCTGCGGGCTTCCAGTCGCACCTGTGACGCCGCACCTGCGAAAATTCCATCGCAAGTGCATACTTGACTTAAGTCCCCTGGGTCCGCATCTGCGAGAGGAGGGCCGCACTTGCGGATGCGCTCCTGTGACCAAGGAGCCACACCTGCGACCTCATCGTTCCTGCACAACTTCCCACCGCAGAAGCGAGGCCGCTTCTATGTAAATCTTTCCACACCTGCGAACCCAGCCTAAGCTGCCCAAATCCGCTTCTGTGATCCTCCATTCGCACATGCGTGTCCGCACCTACGGCGAACCCTACCGCAGGTGCAATGACACCAGAATTTGAAAAACTTCAGCAGCTACATAAGTCCAATTTTCGATCCGTTAAGCATCCAAAACTCACCTGAGACCCCCGGGACCTCAACCAAATATACCAACAAGTCCTAAAATACCATATGAACTTAGTCGAACCCTCAAATCACATTAAACAACGTTAAAAACATGAATCACCCTCCAGCTCAAACTTAATAAACTTTGAAACTTCAAACTTCTACAAATCATGCTGAAACATATCAAATCACGTCCGATTGACCTTAAATTTTAAACACAAGTAATAATTGACATTATGGACCTACTCCAACTTCCGGAATCAGAATCCGGTACCGATATCAAAAAGTACACTTCCGGTCAAACTTTCCAAAAAAATTGACTTTCGCTATTTCAAGCCTAAATCAGCTACAGACCTCCAATTCAGATTTTGGACACGCTCCTAAATCTAAAATCACCCAACGGAGCTAACGGAACTAACAAAACTCCATTCCGGAGTCGTCTTTATATAATTCCAACTACGGTTAAAATTCTAAGACTTAAACTTTCGTTTTATGGACTAAGTATCCCAAATAACTCCGAAACCACAACAAAATCTCCCGAAAAGTCACATAAGCAGAAAAAAAATACGGGGGGAGAAGTAAATAGGGGATCGGGGCTAATGCACTCAAAATGATCGACCGGGTCATTACATTCTAAATTTCTTATTCAAAAGAAGATTAATTTTAATGTTACTCAAGGCTCTAAATAATATTTTTTTCAAGATTAAAGAATAATTTATTCTTTATTTCAAACCTAATTTCAATTCTAATATTTCCATATTCAAATTAAAAATTCTAGAATTCTAATTTTAATGAAAATACAAATAAAAATAACAAATATATTAACAATCAAGGCCGGGGAAAGGATAAAGGAATAACTTACCTTGCCGGAGAAGATGCTAGTTGCCGAAGAAGACTCACGTTGACGGAGACAAATAGACAATACCTGAAAAAGTTAAAAAAAAAATGGGGATTAAAAATGGGGGATGCCGCGCTCGACAGGGATGAGGGAGAGGGGGAGGGAGAGAGGCGGAGAAAGAGTGGTACCGCCAAATTTGAAGTTGACGGCAACAGGGGATTTGGTGCGCGAAAGGAGGGGGAAAGAAGAGAAAGAAAAGAGAAAGAGAGAAAAAGGAAGAAAGGGGTCGGGCAGGTGATATAATAAATTTTTTCGATCAATTCGGTCGGAAATAAATTTAATTTTGAAAAGCGCATTTTTTCCGACCACTTTGGTCGGTGGTTTACTGAAAAAATAATTATTTAAATATTTAAAAGATTTCAGACCAAATCGGTCGGTAACCTAAAAAATATTATTTGAAATTAATTTGAAATTTCCGATGGAATCCGTCGAAAATGTAAACGTAGTCAAAGACAATAACTTTGACTCTTAATTACCGACTGAATCGGTCGAAAATAAATTACCCGGATTTTTCTGCCAAAAGCTTGCGACCAACTATGTCGGAGTATGGTCGAAATATTATTAAAAAATATTTAATATTTTTTTTTATTTTCGGACCGAAACAGTCGGAATCTTCAGACTACAATTTTCAGTCGAAATTTTTCAGTTGGAAAACTGTCAAATTCTAGTACTGATGCTAATCTGCACTTCATCCATCCCACCACTATACGGTGTGTGACATCCTCGTCAATCTCCCCATCCCCCTATATAACCGACCCAAGGT